GGCTAGATCGGCAGGGAAGAACCCTGTGGCTGCGCAGCACAACAGATGCAACCTCCCTCTGCTGCCCTTTCCTCTGGTACAGCACCAGTGACTGGAACATCAGCTGTTCAACCTCTGGCAGTGTTTTCTGTTCTAAAGCTTATCTTTGATTGAGGTTTTTATTTCTTAGCTCAAAATTGAAGACAAGGAATACCTTGCTCTCCATCAAAATGCCTTATAAGTGAAATCACCTTTCTTATTCTGGAAGGGAAGCTTAGACTTCTCTATGCTAGCCCATGGAGTTCTGAAACCAAGTTTCACAGTGAATGTTGCAGAGGAAAAGAAGAAAATCAGCACTTCTCACAAGTTTGTGTGTCCATTGTGAATTGGCTACTTTGATGGCTTTTTCTTTTAAACTAAGAGAAATAGAGAAAACATTAAATGAAGTTCTCCATTCTCTTCTTCAGGATTTCCCCTAAATTAGATAAGCAGACATAAATTATTATGTATGCTCTTGTTTGTTCAATAACATGTCTCAGCTTTTACTGTTACATCTATTTCCAAGTTTGAGATTTGGAAACCACAATTCTAGAAAAACACATGCAGGCTCATTGCCAGTTCACATGAGACATCTAAACACTTTCAAATGGAATGCACTGCTACTAAAAATACTGGGAGTTTGGGAAAGTATGCTTCAGTGTGACCTCTGACACTACACATTCTACTTTGTTACCCTGGCTCTTAAGCAGCTCAGGGAGAAGGACTCAGCCAGTGTCTCCTTGTACCCTCTTACTCCATCTATGGACTAGCCTTCCATTGTTAAAACAGATTATATTATGAGTTATTTATATTTTTGGCTACTCTGAACAAATTTTGGTTTCTCAGAAACATTTTGACATGCTATTTTTGGTATGAGAATGAAGTATTGAGATTGCAGAAACTCACTTCCCAGTTGTCCTCACTGTCTTTGAGACACAAGACTGGCAAGTTCAATTAAAGAAATATTGAAGTGTCTCTACTACACAGATGCTATTTAGTGACAAAAGGAATTGATTTGTATCTGACAACCATACAAAACTTGGAGTCCATGGGCCGGCCAGATAGCTCAGCAGTTAAAGCGCCTGCTTAGGCAGGCACAGGGAACAGGGTTCAATCCCCAGTATGCTGTGCTGGCCCTGCCCCCAGGGCACACTGACACAGCAACTGAGACTGGGCAGGCCTGTAATCCCTGCATTTGGGAGGCTGAAAACAGGAAGATTACTACAAGTACAATCTGTGTGATGAGACCCTGTAGACGCTGTGGTAAATACATTAAAAAAAAAAAAAAATCTTGCAGTCCAAATCCCACAACATGGCATTACGTGATTAAAGGCTAAAAGGAAGATTCAGAAACTCAAGAAAAGGGGAAGGTGACCATAGGCAGAAGAGTCTAGGCAGGTGAGGCCTAAAAGGGTCTCCTGTGGCAAAGGACTGTGAAGGATATTTTTGTTGGCTTTTGGAGAACAGTAGCCTTATGATCAGGGTGATTCATTTCACAAAATAACTCGTGGAATATAAAATGGCCTAATGGAACCTATTTGCCACTGAGTTTCCACTACCTAAAAGTGATGTTCCACTTAGTGTCTCATAGTGCCTACACAGTATTTTTATTATCTGAAGAATGGGAACAAAGGACATTTTTAAAGTATATTTTTCCCCTTGATTTTTATAGACTTTTCAGTTCAAATCATAAAACGTTGAGATTTGGAGTCTGTTTGCTTTAGAGCAGAGTCCTAAGAACCTCCTAATTGGGGATATAGACCTCTCTGGGGCCAATAGGACTTCTCTATGATCTACAGTGTACTCCAGTCCCAGTGACCATCTCAAAGAAAGTAGTCTGAGTGCCCAGTCGTGAATGCTGATTGCTCGTGGGTGTGCTCTTCCCTACTGGTCAGCGAACCCTCTGTACCCTAGAGCTTCATTCACCCTTTCTTTTGTCATTTACTAATGTGTGTGATAAGTCCTGTGAAAATGGGCCTTGTATTATAGAAGTCAGTCGGGCAAATGGAGTTCATAGTGCTTTTTGACAGAAATTACACTGTGGTAAGCACTAGTTCCTTGAGATTGAAGAAGAGAGCAGTGGTAACTTAGCCTGAAGAGAGTTGGCAGCTTCATAGGAGGACTTTATGGAGGAAATACTATTGGACATTCAAATGTAAGTAGTGGCAATATGGGTAGGACCTAGAAAGGTTTTCAAAGCAAAGGAGTTTATGCAAGAGGCAGTAGAGAGCTTGGTGCATCCAGGAACTTCATAGATGCAGAACAGCACAGCAAATGAAGAAAGAACTCTTGTTTCATTCTTTGAAGCCATGATAGTCATGTCAGCTTTAAAGAACAGCTGTTTCTGCCCTCTTATAATAGCCTTCGAGGTCTGGTCTGCCTGGGTTCTATGATTTAGGAATTTAACGTGCCCCTTCCAGATTTCTCCTGAAGAAACATTAGGACCAATGCAGCTGTTCCTAATAGTGGTTGTGTGTTTGTATTTGTCAAGTTCAGAGGCATTGTATATCTGTGACTGTTCTAATAGGCAGTTGTAAGTTGTTTCACAAACATGTCAGTAGGAAATTAGATGGATTTGCAAAAAGGCATGCTTTATTCTGTGTACCTCAAATTCTAATTAAATTTTAATCCATTTGAATGCATTCATAGAAATGGTAGCTATCAGCTATGAAAGACATTGTTTGATAAGTTCCTGGATGCACCATTTTTAAGAATCTCCTTGTTTTCAGAGCTCATTATGCATTGTCTAAATTTCATGTTAATCTTTTTAACAATCCTTCAAGGTCAGTAGTTAGAAGGCAGTCAACCATTCACTATAGATAGTTAGGGAAGCATTCAGCCTTTATATAGTTGGCGAAGTAGATAACTCGTGTTGTGGGTAAAACATGGAGGAATTGACTTCTCTGGGCATAGCCTGTCTGTGGCAGAACTTGAACCTGACCTTGTTCTGACTCAGACCCCAGCTTTCTTCACTATGTCTTGCTATTTTTCTCTTTATCACTGATGAGGTCTAACTCTTCGCAGCTCAGTCACATGTTTAATGGGTCATAGTAATGCATGTGCTTTACCCACATTCCACAGTACTTTTTCACTCAGCAAATACTTAAGTGTGTATTTATTTCCGTGAAAATAAATCAGTGCTTCAGTCATGTGCTACTTATGCCCTCCAATTGTTTTCTTGTTATAACCAATTGGAAATCTTCCTTAGCATACCCCAGTGCCTAGGACAGCACTGGGGCCAGTCCCCAGAGCCCTTTTCTCCCTCCTCCATGCTGTTAGTTGTACTATGTTTCAGGGTTGGTTTGTTTTTTAACTTCTTTTGGCCTTAATCAGAGCACCTTAAAAACTGCATTCTGTACTGAACAGAAAGTTGTCAAGTGTTTGCTGAGTGAGCATCCCAGAGCACATGTGCCCTTAGAAATAGTTTATAGGTAATTGTCAATATAGCACATGCTCCTTTAATCCTCACCCAGCTCAGGGTGAGTGCTTTTCTGATTGGAGAGTATGATAGAGGAGGCCGCTCAGTGCCCTGTGCTCCTTCCCCAGACGTCCCCTGGCCTCTGCCTATACAGGCTTACCTCAGCAGGCTCACTGTGCCTGATACACAGGCCAGGTGCCCAGCAGTTGTGGTGCTGAACATGTGTCCTCCCTGTCTTGTGAGGCTGCACCAAGAAGTCCTTATGTATTGTTATAGTTGCTTGACAGTTCTTTGCTCAGCCACAGTCATCTAACTGGAGTGAAAGGGAAACCAGTCTTTGAGGAAGGGTTGGGCTCTTAAGACCAAAAACTTTTCTTTAAAATGATAGCATCATTATTTCTTTGAGACCATTCCTTTCCTTTGGGGGAAAAAATTGCCCTTCACATCTGTAGCAAACCATCTGATGCTTTGCTGACTCAGAGCAGTTATGAAATGAATTTGTCTTTTCCTGCTTTGGAAGGTGACTGTGAGAGCTATCAAGCTGTAGCCTCCAGCCCAGCAGGAATGTCTTTTTAAACAGTCAAGCAAATTCCTAGATTAGAAAGAGTCTATGTGGCTGATGTCACTCTTTCCTGAGTAATTCTGGGTGGTTATTTACTGCATTCTGTCTGCCAGGGGGCCAGGAACTTGAATGAGATTCATTATTAGAACTCTGAGTTGCAGGCATGTAATCAAGAGCTGATTGCTGCGCTTAGGATGAAAATTTCAAAGATCTGTTGCCCACTGAGCCTTAGGGAATCTGTGAGGAATAGGACATAGTTCTGAGTCTTGTCTGGCTGCACTCAAGGGAGTTTGTATGATGGCAAGCAGCCAGGAGTAAGACGCTGTCCCGCAGTTGCTGTGGAGGCATTGGTGGCGGCCACAGCAATGTGTGGGACTTTCCATAGCTTCTGAGCAGCCCGGCAGTGGTAAGTGTGATGCTTCCCACTTGGAACAAACAGTATTTTCAGAACCACTTTTAATGTTGTTGCATTCTTCCTTGTTTTCCTGGTGGGTGAAATACTGGTTAAGCTGAAAGTTAGATTGGAAGATTGAGCTGGGCAAGTTAGGAAAATTATATGCCAGGTTGCTAGTTGGTCACATAATGTGCTGGGGAATTCACAGTTGTAAGAGCCTGTGTTAGTGCAATCTGCCTCAGACATGTAGACGCTTGATGAAGGGCTGTTAGAGATTTCTCAGGGTCCTTCTATTCTGCTTAAAATAAACGGTAGCATACAAATGTTTTATCTGTCCGTCCTTCATTTTCAGCAGCCTCTCTTTTTCTTCCCAACTGTATTTTTCTTACCTGTAATAGCACTTTAAAATGACTTGTCTGCTGCACCAAAGCTGTTGTAGAGTCATATGTAGAGTTAGAAGCATAATCCTCCTTCCCCTGTATATAAATCTTGCCTTTTGGGCATTTTCTCCTGGAAGCCAGCTGGTACTGCTTGGATGACTTAAGTGGGCTCTTGTGTGTGCTGCTCTGGCTGTCAGCCCTCATTAACACAATGTGTTGTCTCTCTAGCACAATCCTGGAGGAAGAGAAAGCCCAGCAAGAAGAACGGATGAGGATGGAATCGAGAAGACAGGCCACAGTTTCCTGGGATTCTGGAGGATCTGATGAAGCACCGCCCAAGGTAGCTGAGGTCCCCACCCCAACTGTGGGATTTCTCTGTGATGTAGGCAGCTATTTCCTGTGATCTGGTTACTCTAAGATTAGAGAAATCTGACCTGTTCTTGCTTGCTTCTCCTCTCCAGATTGTCATCCTATGCGTCAATTTCCCTAATCTGCATTTTAAATAGAGGCTGTTGAAAACTCGAGCAAATATTATTGTAAAATGATCTTCTTCCTGTTCCTCTTTACCTTCCCTCAGTATCATTGGACATCTGGCTGTGAAGAGGATTTTTTTTTTGTTAGTATCAGAGATCTCACTAACGATTAGTCAGGATTAAAACATGAAACTAGGCCTTTGGTGCTTTGCTTTTTGCTTCAAAAATGAGTCTCTTTTCACCTGACAAGAGTATTCCTTTTGTTGTTGTTCAGATTGTACATTTTCTGTCTTCTTGGCAGAACTTCTGGTAGCTTTTGTATGAGAAGCATGTTACATGCTTTTGTTTCCTTGGTGAGACTAGCCAGTGTCATGCTCAAACCTTGTTGTCACCCACCTTCAAGGCTTCCTCATGTCTCCTCCCACTGAGGAAGGTGGCTACACCCCTTACAGGGCCTGTGTTGAGCTGGGCTGGAAGGTTTTGGATAGTTACCCTAACCTAAATGTTTTCCTTAGACTAAAAAGGCTTTATATACTTATTACTTTTAATAAGATAGCATTTTCATACACATTCATGAATGATCCAATGTCCTTTTTCTGGAAAGTCAAGGAATAATAAGCTTTTTTTTTTATTTTATAACTATTTGATATTTAGCTGAAAACAACTTTTTGAAAAATATTCAGCAATCTCTTAACACAAAGAACTGTTTGAATATTGGAACAGTTGGTTGTTTTGTTTTTTGCTATGATGCCTGAAAACTTATTTTCTTGGTCTGCTGTGTAAAAGTAACCTATCTATCGCACACTAGAAATGAATGTAAACCTATTTATCACACAGTTCTATTACATATTGGTAGAGCTAAAGGTACATCAGTCAAGCCACTCTGCAGATAAGGAAAATCACATCACTGGTGGAGAGGTATTGCTTTGAGCAAGGCAGTGAGAAAACTAGAATATTACCATTTTAGTGAAAATAGAAGATGCATAGTTAACCACAGAAAAGTGTGAACATCCTACATCTAAGGCCCTGCATGTTCTTTGTTTTTGAGGCAGGATCTTGCTATGTAGTATAGGCTGATATTGAACTCAGCATTCAATCCTGGCTAGTCTCAACTCATAGCCTTCCTTCTGCCTCAACTTCCCAAGTTCTGGGATACGGGCATGAGCCATCATGCCTGGCTTGGCTTTCCAGCTTCTGTTTACCACTTGTTCTATGTTTTAATTCCATAAAAGCTGTAAAATAGTCCTGTGCTGGGACACAGGAGTCTTGTCCACAGTGTCTTGGGCCTTGAAGTCAAACCACTTTGTCCATCTCAGATTCTGGTATAGTCTGATGACTAAATAATTTACCTTCTTATCTCAAACCTTATATTTTTTTCTTTGTATCTGTTTGGAATGTTTAAAGTAATTTATTTTGAATAACAGTTCACTTAGTACACAGAAGCCTAATAAACACAGTATTAAACATTTAGTGATACGCACCAGATAATGAACACTCTCTTGGAATTAAAGAGCCTTTTTCAGCTAAATATCTGTCACACACACACATACCTATCTCCCTCTATCCCCCTCTGCCTCCCAACTCCCATGCTCCGCCCCCCTTTGGTGCTAAAATAGCACCTAGAACCTCACACATATTAGAGTACACAGTACTCTACAATTGAGCTACATCCCCAACACCTACCATTTTTCCATATGCCAGTCTATTGGGCTTTTAATGAGTTTAGTTTGACTAATTTTTAAAATTAGTTCATGGCATAGGGTGGTTCAGTGTTTCAGTACTACTGGGGATAGAATCCCTGGATACTTTTTATTTTTGAGAGAAGGTCTTATTAAGTTACCCAGGTGTGACTCCCACCTTGGGATTCTCCTTCTTCAGCCTCCCTAAGTGGTTGTGTTACAAGTGTGTACCTCCATGCCCAGGTTTAGTTCAGCTTAAGTTTTTTCATGTACTTTTATTTTTTTATTCTAAATGTTAGCAACCAATTACTCTTTTTTTTGTTTGTTTGGTTTTTTTGGCTGAACCAGGGATTGAACTCAGGCCCCTGGCAAGTACTTATTCCACTGAGCACTGAGCCATCTCCCTGGCCCATAATTACTCTTTTTTAGAAGTCTTTTTTCTTTTAAAAAAATTAGTAAATGTTTGCAGAATATAATGGCTGCATTCCTCATATGAATTGGTGTGTATAGTGGATGATACATCTTAATTTTTTTTCATCCCCTTTCCTTCTCATCACTTGATCCCATTGACATTTGAAAAAGATCTCTCTCCCTACTTCCTGTTATATTTTACTTTGCTCTTTACAGTTTGGGCTTCTCATATAAGAAAAATAGTGTGATGTCCTTTATGGCAGAGTAGTACTCCATTATGTATAAATAACATGGTTTTTTAATCCATTCATCTGCTTAAATTTTTAGGGGAGGTTTATTTTTTGTTTTTGGTGCCGAGGACTGAACCCAGGACTTCCAGCTTGTTAGGCAAGCATTCTACCGCTGAGCCAAATCCCCAGCCCCTGCTTAAATTTTTAGATACTTTCATACTCTTTTTTGGTCTCTTCAAGTGTTTTGAAAATGCCAATTTTGTTTTCTTTTCAGCTGTTTTGAAAATGCCTTTGAAACTTGTTTATAATCAGAGTTTGTTCTGCCCTGTACCAGGCTTATTTGTCTGAAGCAGAGGCCAGCCACAAAGGTTGTTACTGCTTGATCCTGGTGCCAGACATTCTATTGGGACGCAGCCACAGAGACAGTGACACACAAAACTTAACACACTTGATGGTTGACCCTTGCAGAAAAGGTTAGCCTTAAGATTAAAAGTTCTAATGGCTAAAATCATCTCAATTAGTATAGATATTCATATGCTTAAGATTATAAGCAAGTATGTCTCTTGTTTCCTTCTAATACAAAGAACCTAGGAAAGTGCAGTTTTCACCTCTCAGTGTTCATTGCAGCATCAGATTCTAGGGCAGGGATATAGCTTAGTTGCACAAGCACCTGGCTGACAAGTGTGAGGTCATGAGAATTACAGTAATTCCCAAGCGCTGGAATTAACAGGCACACACCACCATGCCCAGTCTCAACTGCTGTCTCAGCCCACCCAGGGTGCAGGGCCGGAAAGGCATGCCTGGATCGAACCCCATCCCTGGTCCCTGTGTCTGCCTAAGCAGGCACTTTAATCTGCTCAGCTATCTGGCCAGCCCCATAATTCTGCCTGTGTGGTCCTAGAATAGATAAACTCCACTTTAATTTCTTAAATTCAAGTAGTATGTTAAGCTTATGTAGATAAATTCTGTGTACCACTAAAAAATAAGTAAAAATAAATGATTGGGCTGAGGGTTATAGCTCAGTGGTAGAACACTTGCATAGGCCCTGGGTTTCATCCTCAGCACCACAAAAAAGAAAAAAAGAGCAAACAGAAAAGATACTGTTTACTACAGCTTTATTAGTTTTTGGTTTTTGAGACAAGGTCTCACTATATAGCTCTAAAATTTGAATTGATTATGTAGCCCAGGCTAGTCTTCAATTCACAGTCCTCCTGTGTTTCTGCTTCCCAAGTGTTGGGGTTACAGGCATTTGTTACCATGCTTACCTAGGTCCTTCATTCTTTTTTTGTACTGGGATTCAAACTTAGGAGTTTTTGCTTGCCTGGCAGGTGCTTGTGCCAGTACCACTGAGTTATATCCCCAGCCCCCTTCATTACTTTTTTTTTTCCAGCACTAAGTATCAAACTTGGGACCTTACACTTGCCAGGGAGGCGCTTAAGCCACTGAACTATATTCCTGGCCCCCGTCATTACTTTTTAAAGGATAATATTGTCCTCTCTTCTAGTCAAGGTTCCAAATTTAAACTTTATTAATAACAAAACATTTTAACCAGAAAGCTGATGACTAAAGTGTTCATAACAGGCTTTGGATACAGTTCAATAGTAGAGCACGTACTTAGCGTGTAAAGTAGCTTGGGTTCTATCCCCAGAACTGAGAAAAAAAATTCACCCGCACATAATACCAGAGTATGTATGTGTATAGTTTAGCTGTGGTGAGCCCTGCTTGGGAAGTTCCTGCTTAATGTTCATTTTCATCTGTCCATGATTCCTGTCAGAGTAGTAGTAGAATGACTTCAGCATAAAAGTGTTTTTAGTGCAGCTTTCTCAGAGTGGTCCTTTGATTCCCTGGGATTACAAATACCATGTCATAGGTCCAGGAGATTTGAACTCTTCTTTTTATTTATTTATTTATTTATTTTTATTTATTTTAGGACAGATACTTTAATCCACTGAGCTGTTTGGCCACCCCTTGAACTCTTCCTAATTGTGTTTAGATGGATAATTTTTCCACTTTGATGATATTAGCACTGATAGAACCACTGCCATTTGCACAACTCAGAAAGCATCTCCTAGCTGCACTAGTTGGCACTGTTCTTTACCACTGTGCTCACACCACAACAACAGGGTGTCAGTTTATAAAGACAAAGCAGTGTGAGGACATAGAAAGTACATGCCCAGATCTGATGTTTTCTCAGAAAGCAAGCAAGCAAGCAAGCTGTCACTTCAAAAAAAAAATTGATCATATTTACTATCAATGATAAAATTTGGAGTTTCAAGAAAAACAATTAGAATTTTGAAAAAACTGCCATGACCTTCACAAAGCTTCCCAATTCTTAGACTCTTCTGATGAGCTCAAGATGACATTAACAATCACGATTTCTTAAAAGTACATACTATGTAGAACTGGAATTTGTCAACATTGAGAAAGTCTGGTTACTCAGTACTTTTCCAAATATGTAACCAGAATGTAACCAAATCACATATGGGAAAAGGGGCCAAAGTACAAGCTCTATCTTGGGTTTTATAGTTGAATACCTGGGTATGGCTCATTTTTCCTAATAGTAGTTGTTCTGTAAGGTCGGGGTCTAGTACATTATTGTGTTACTATAAAGCAGAACTGGTTCCAGTTTCAGAAAATAATGGTTTTTGTTGTTTCCACCGTTTCCTATAAATAAAGTGAGAGGAATGTGGTGAATCTTGGAACAACAGAATTGTACTCTCTGCTAGAAGCTACTTGCGTGGCCTCCCCGCTAAGCCATCAGGGGCCTCTCACAAGAGGTTTGTTCATCCCTGAGAGATCAGTACCTCCCAGATGAGGACCTCTTTTTTAGGTGGTCAGTTTCCTCCCCTTTCTCCCTTCTTGTTTTGGAGGATTCAGCAAAAATCCCTTTGGTTCCTTGTTTTTCTGCGTGAAAACTCAAGTTTCTCTTGGAAAATGAGGTGCAGTGACTGCTAATATAGCGCTCAGTAATAGTGATGTTTCAGGAGTGTCCCCATGACAGTCGTAGAAGATGGCCTTTGTTACTCTGCCCATTTCATGGTGGACGTAGTCAGGAAGGACCAAGAGTCTGGCCAGGCCAGCCTCTGACCACATACCCAGCTCTTCTGTGGCAAGAACAGAAGCAGAGTTGTGCCAGCGAAGTGTTTGTAGTCTCAAGCTTAGACTATGGTATGTTTTTTGTGTATTGCTCCATCTCTACTGTGAAATGTATTTCAACTTTTTATCTGGTTGTTGTTGTTGGTGGTGGTGGTGGTCTTTTGTTTATTTTTGTTTTGTTCTCACAGTACTACTAGGAATTGAACCCAGGACCTTTGCAGTAGGCTGTATATCCATCCCTTTTGTATATATTCTCTTTTGAGAAAGGTTCTTAGTCACCAAATTGCCTGGGCTAGACTTGAACTTGGGATCCTCCTGCCTCAGCCTCTCAAAGGTGCTAGGAATACAAGCATGTGCCACTGTGTTCAGCTTTCTCTACCATGTCCACCTTTCCCTATTACTTATTTTAAACTGGAACCCTGTATTATCATTTGCCACCTACTTAAGTATTTAAGTCATTGTGAGATTTTTATAAAGCTCTAATTTTTTTTATGAGAAGTCAAAAGTGGACTTGTTAAAAAGCAGCATGATACTATAATGAATGTTAGTGTTCTATCAATACTGTCTGTGTTCTTATTTAAATTGCCTGACTTCTCTAAACCTATGTAAAATGGCAGTGATTATATAGTTTTTTAGCATTGTTGTCTGAATTATCAAACTGTACATAAAAGACCTTGTCCAGTGTGCATAGGGCACACTAAGTGACAACTGTTTGTGTTTTTGCCTCAGGTACTCCACTCCCAAAAGGCAAGCCAGACGATATAACCTCTGTCACATCACCTGTGTCTGGGCTCTGCATCCTTCTATTCTTGGACTCCAGGAACATGGAAATAGAAAGCCTGGGCCATGCAGTGTGTTTGATGCCTGTGGATTGACATACCCTCTAAATTAGCCATTGCCAGTGAAGCATCACTATAGACAGAGTCGCTCTTTTTAAACATCTTTTAAATTAGCACAATTTTTCAAATTAAGCTTTTAAAAATACAAATCTGAAGAAGTATAATACACACTTCAGAAATGCTCCCTTGGCTCACAATGGAGAGAAGCCCAAAATGCCCCTTAATACTCATTCCTGTTGTGGAGATCTTTGGGGAATTCATGCCCCTGTTCAGTTAAGTTGGATTGGGATGCATCTGGGGCAATGTGTAAATGTGACAAGGCTCAAGGATGTGGAGTAAGTCAGGACTTGCAGAGAGCTTGTCCTCATGATAGGCCGACAAGAATCAAGAATCTTCAGGAAAGACTGGAGGTGTCTGGCAGGTGTGGAAGGAGACCTTTCACTGTGGGTTTCATTGTTGCTGTGGGAGTTTTTTGATTTTTTGTTTTGTTTGTTATTTTTGCCGTGCTGGGGCTGGGACCTAGGGCCTTTTACATTCCAGGCAACCAGTCTACCACTGAGGATACCCCATCAGTTTTTATTATTATTTTGAGACAAGTGTTTCTAAGCTGCCCAGGCTGCCAGTGAACTTGGGAATGTCCTGCGTCAGCCTCCCATGAGATTGCAAGCATATGCCCTGTGCCTAGCTATTGTGGTCTTGATTCAACTGGAGAATAATGAAATGCTACTTCATTAAATCTCTTATGCTTTAAAAGACTTTATTGGTTCACCTTCTTTCATTTTCTGTTTCAAACTGTGTCATTCTTTTGCTCTTAGCTTTGAATTAATTTATCACAGACAAAATGAGAAATTAGAACTGAAGTGTCTTCAGAGCTCCTTTGGTTCACCCCCATTTGTCAGATAAGAAACAGCAGTTAGATGAATCTCATCCATGTAAAATATGACATAGCAAAGCAAATACCTAGCCCACTCCCTGGGCAGAGCATTCAGGCTGTAGCCTAGAAAGTTCCTCACCCCTGTTTAATAGCTTTGTGGAGATCCAATGTATATACCATATGGTTTGCCCACACAGGGTAGTACTCAGTGTTTTTTACTATATTCAGCATTATGCAGCAATCACCACAATGAATTGTAGAACATTCGTATCACCTTATTTTTTTTTAATTTTTTTTTTTTACGTTTATTGTGTGTGTGTGTGTGTGTGTGTGTGTGTGTGGCCAGCTCAGCCCACCAGGGGGCGGGGCTGGCTGGCATGTGGTGCTGGGGGATTGAACCGTGGTCCCTGTGCTTTGCTAAGCTTGTTCCAAGTAGGTGCTTTAGACCACTGAGCCATCTCCCCAGCCCTCGTATCACCTTATGATAAACTCCAAACTCATTGGCATCGCTCCCTCATTTTCTCTCCTTCTGTGCCTGATAGCCGGTTATCTGCTTGCTAATTTCAATTCTTTTTGGGTACATTGCATAAATGGAATCATATGATAGGTTTTTGATGACTGGTTTCTTTTACTTATCATGTTTTTAAAACTTCATGTTTTATTATATGTCAGTATTTATTCCTTTTAATTACTAGGTAATATTTCTTTTATAAGTATATTTTTTATCCTTTCATCAGTTGGTAGAAATTGTTCCCACTCCCCATTATAAGTAATCCTATTAAAACATTTATGTAAGTCAAAATAAACCTCTTCCTCTTTACAAAAAAGAACATTAATGTATATTTTTTGTTTGTGTGGACCTATTTTCATTTCTTGGCATGTATATCTGAAAGTGGAATTCGGTTATTCTATACTTAATTTTCTTAGACTGTCTCCTAAAGCAGCTGCTCCATTTTCCATTCCCAGTGATATTGTGCAGAGTTCTGCTTTCTTCACAGCCTTGCTTTTATGTTCTGCATTTACTATTATGACCAGCCTAGTGGTCATAAAGTATAGCTTACTGTGGTTTTGATTTGTATTTCCCTGATGCCCAAAGATATTAAACATCCTGGCCATCCCTGTATGTTCTTTGGGTCTACTCTTTCCCCACCTTTTAATTGGATTATTTGTCATTTTATTACTGGAAGAACTCTTTATGAGCTCTGGCTCTGAATCTGTTACCAGATAATTTATATTCTTAAAACATTATTATTTATTTTTAATTTAGTATAGGGTCTTCAAGGTCTTGGTACACAGATTAGACTTGTAGTGACCCTCATGTTTTCAGCCCCCCAAGTGCTGGGATTATAGATGCGTGCCCCCATACCCAGTCTCAGTTGCTGTCTCAGTGTGCCCTGGGGGTGGGGCCGTCACGGCACCCCAGCAATGGAACCCCAGTCCTCGTACCTCTCTAAGCAGGCACTTTTAGTTTGCTGAGCTATCTGACTAGCCCTAGACATTATAAGTTGTCTTTTCATTCACTCTCTTGATGGCATATGTGCAACACCAGAGTTGTGAGATTTTTGTCAGGGCAGAGGTTAAAACAGAATCTCTGTGTAGCTCAGGCTGTCCTTGAATTTGCCATGCATCCCAACCCAAGGTGGCCTAGAACTCATAGTCCTGCCTCTGCCTCCTGAACATTGGGATTATAAGCATATGCCGCCAAAACTGGCTTAAAGTTGTGATTTTTGATGATGTCCATTTTTTTACTTGGTTGTGTTTTTGTGTCATAGCTAAGAAACCATTGCCTAATGCAAGGTTACAAAGATTCTTTTTTTTTTTTTTTTTTTTTTTTTTTAATAGCAGAAATCAAATTCAGGACCTCACACTTGCCAGGCAGGCACTGTGATATATTAATTTTTATGCTTCTAAGAATCTTACAGTTTTAGTTCTTACATTTAGACCTGTGATCCATATAGCGTTAATTTTTGTGTGTATTATAAGAGAAGAACCCAACTTTCTCACATGTGGATATCCAGTTGCTCAGCAGTGTTTGTTGAAAAGACTGTCCTTTCCCCACTAGAAATTCTTGGCAGCCAAGCCCTTTTATTTATTTTGTTTTTTCTTTCATTTATTTATTTATTTATTTATTTTCTGTTTTAGCCTTTTTCGAGATAGTGTCTTCCTATGCTGTTCAGACTGGCCTTGAGCTCACGTTGTATCTCAGGCTGGTCTCAAACTCACAATGCTTCTGCTTCAGTTTCCCCAGTGCTGGGATTACAAGCAAGCATCCCCTTGCCTGGCTTCCAGGCAAGCTCTTATTAAAGAAATACCTTTTGCTGTTCTTTTCATAAGACATAGATTTACCAGAATCAAAGATTCATTCATATGATGTTCTGTTCACAGCCCAGCAGACCTGGTTATCCTAGTCCGAGATCCAGCGAAGGATTTTATCCCAGCCCACAGCACATGGTCCAGACCAATCATTACCAGGTACCTAAGTCATTACTGGCATAAAATGTGTTACTTGATTTTCAGTACTTTTGGTGGGGTAGGTATGATACAGATACAGTTTTCTTGCTTACATACTTATTTTCACAAGCAAAAAGCTAGGAAAATAGTCACCCTCACTCACTGTTGCTTCTATGAGCCAGCTGGGTCAAGTAGGTGGGACAGTGCCTCCAGAAGTATGTAGGCCCATTCTCTCCAACTGTAGATCAAGTGCAAGCATACTCTACAGAGGTGATATGGAACTGCAGTTTTTCTAGAGGACAAAAATAAAAATTTAAAATTTTTGCCTTTTTTAATTTTTTTTCTTATGTATGTGTGTGAGTGACAGGGTCTTGCTGTGTAATTCAGGCTGGCTTTGAGCTCACTAAGTAGCACTAAGGGACCTCAAAATATAACAATCTCGCCTTGTCTTCCTAAGAAAATTTGAAACTATTTTAACAGAAACAGTTGAGATCTGCTATAGACAAGTGTGGAAAGAATATTGAGTTTACAGGCATTCTACAATTAATTAGAAAAAATTAACTCTGAAGAAAAAGAGATGAAGCAGAGTAAATAATTCTTGTGTTTGTTTTATGAATGAAGGTTATTAGCTTCTTTTCAGATGTAATTTGCTTGTAGGGAAATTCACACATCTTTTGACTGATGCAAGCACCATTATGTGCCATGCCTCCGTCACAGTAGAAAGCCTAAGCAATCTCCCTGGTGCCCCTTGGCCCAGAAGCAGCCATTCTTCCTATTCCTGTTACTGGAGAATGATTTTGCCTGTTCTACAGTTTTTTATAAATGGAATCATATAGTATCTGCTACTAGAATTCAGCTTAAAAAAAAAAAAAACTTATTATAAGTTCTGTGATAAAGTGTCACGGAGGGGTCATTGCTTGCTTTCTTACCTCTTGACAGTGTTACTAAGGCCTTTAAGTTAAGGCCTTTAGAGTAGATAATGGAAAAAGATTCTCAAGCGTTGGTACTAGAGTATTAAGGGAGAATATAGAAACCTTTTTTTTTTTTTTTTTTTTTGTATTTTAGTACAGGGTTTACGGGGTTTCACTACACAGATTTGACTCATAGTGATCCTCCTGTTTTCAGCCTCCCAAGCCCTGCTATTACAGGTGTGCGCCGCCGCGCCCAGTCTCAGACACCATCTCAGTGCGCCCCAGGGGCAGGGCCTGCAGGGCTTGCTGGGGCATTGAACCCTGGTCTACTTTTAGTCTGCTGAGCTATCTGGCTGGCCCTAACAGGCTTTTTTGCTTTTTTTCTTTTCGTGGTACAGGGAATTGAACTCTGAGCCTTGTGCTTGCCAGGCAGGCACTTATGCTGCTGAGCTATTTCCCCCGCCTTTTCATTTACATAATTGGTACAGGGTCTCACTACACGGCTCAGACTTGTAGTGATCCTCCTGTTTTCAACCTCCCCAGCACTGGGATTACAAGCATACGCCACCATGCCTGGACACACCATGCACCACCATGCCCAGGGGCCAGGCCGGTGCAGCATGTGGGACCAGGGACGAACCAGGTCTTTGTGCTTGCCAAAGCAGGTGCTTAATCTGCTGAGCTATCTCACCAGCCCTAAACTATTTCTTAATAGTAAAGACCTATGAAAGTCTGTGATAGTTTAGAACAGTAAAACTAATGAATTTCATGTTATGTACCTACTGCCTCCAGATTCCCATGTATTTATTTTAAAGTGGAACTGAGAGTGTTAATGTTGCCAAAAAGCAGCACTCAGTAGCTCTGGGAGACACTGTTCTGAGATAGCCACCTCCATGCAAAAAGGGGAGTCAACCACTTGGGTTCCCAGAACATCTGTGTAGTCCTCAACTCTAGATTCTGGAAACATGAAGATGCACCAGCTGTTCCCCCCACCCCATTTCTCAGAGGAGGAGCTTACAATACCTTTGCTTACTAGTTGTAGATATAGGAGCCAGTACCCGGACTGGGACAGTAGTCAGAACACAGGGTGGGTATCGGTAACCTAGGGAAAGAGAGTCCACATCGCATTGCTGTGAGATTATGCATTCTATCAGATAGCAGAGTGAGCCAGGAACCACCCCAGGGTCCGTACCTAGCTAGCTGTACAGGAAGTCTTAGCTCAGCTGGCATTGAGTGGGAACTGAATAGCAGCACTGCCAGGTTCTTGAGATGAGTGTCAGACAGTGAGTGCTCTGTGTCCCAACAGACCCACAGGAGTCCTCGCCAGATGAGTAGTGTGGTCTAAGTACTTATACAACTTGGAACTCAAGCACATGTTTGATAGTGGCAGTCTGTCCTCCAGTGGAAATCCCTGAGAGTGGGGACAACTGTAGAGTGATGTGTAAATAAAAAATAAATGGTGAATATATTAAACCTTTCTTTTTATTGAACATAATTAATGCATTCTTAATTTCTCCAAGCCCCAATTTCCCTGGCTTGTCAGTAAGATCAGCTGTAGGACATCCTGATGTTACTCATAGTTCCTTGTAACCTAAATTGCCCCAATCCTTCCACATGTTCAGTATTATTTTAAAACTGCCTTAGACCATTCCAAGCCTCTTTGTTATGAAAACTTTTATAAGTTTTCTGGCAATAAATATGTCAGTTTTCCCCAAAGATTGTGGTGATGTGGCATTTTTTATTTAGTAGAATTTTTATTAGTATATTTTCATTCAGACTACAAAATCTTTGCATACATTTTTCTTGAAAACTCACCCATTAGATATTATCTGTATAATTTTGGTATAAGTTAATTATTGGAAACTTTGTAAATGTCTACACCTTTATTCAAGGATGTATTAATATTAGCAATACAGACCTGTGACTTTAAAAAATGAACTAGCAACCCTGGTCATACCATAGCAGAAAGCCGCAAGTGATCTACAGAAACAAATCCTGATTCTGCTTACTCAGTCTGTCAGTCAAGAGAGAGGGCCCTCTCGAGAGACCTCTCCTTCCTCATTTTTCTTCTGCTAGAATTCTTTTCACTGAACATCTCTCTCTCTCTCTTTCTCTTAGTCATCATTGTGAGAACTGGAGGACAGGACCTCTCCCACCATCAGCCCTTCCTTTATTAGACGACAACAGTGGGATTTTCATTTTTTAATGGCTCTTACTGGGGATATGGTGGGTTGGGCAGAAAAGAAGGATTCTGGAACCAAACAGACTACAAATCTTTGGCTTCCTGTTAGTTTTGCAAACCAGAGATACTCTGCTCTAGCATTTCCATAAACATAAAATTGCATGTTTGCATATGTTACCTAATGTAGCCGTAACAAAGTTTTTTTCCTTGAGGCTTTTATTGAAAACCCATTTCCTTGCTCTACCAGCTTCTACAGATCATTCCTCACCTCAGAGTCCCCTTGATTCATGTCCAAAGCCAACAGCATTGGGTATCTCTGACTATTCTTCAGTAATCACACTGTTCTTCCACTCTACTTCCTGTCTACAACTAAAGCCTCTTGTGATAACATTGGGCCCACTCATGTAATCCAGAGTAGTCTCCCATCAAAGCCCCTGATTTAGTCATATCTGCAAAATCCCTTATGCCAATTTGGGGAATGTTAACATGTTCAAAAAGCTGAAACTTGGACACTGGGGTGTGGCCACTATTTTGCCCGCCACCACATTCTTTAATTCTAGTTACTTTCTTGCACATGTAAAGCAGAAGCTATGTTAGGGCAGAACATTACCTTGCCTCCTAACTCACTCACAGGTCTCTGGCTACCCTGGTTCACATGGAATCACAGCTATGGCTGGCAGCATCTACCCAGGTCAGGCATCTCTCTTGGACCAGACAGAGACATGGAATCATAGATCTCAAGAGACACCTATGTGGCAGCCCAGCATGGAGGTAAACTGGGTGTTCTTGGGCTTTAGCACATAATCTTGTGAAGTGCTGCTTAAGACACATTTTATATCTAAGTCCAAGACTACTTGATTTTGATGACTTAATTCTAAAACCAGATATCTCAGCTATTCATGTATTCTGGTTTTTATGAATTGTTTTTAAGGAGAAAGAAATGCTGCAATCATAGTCCATTCATTTAAAAAACAAAATATAATTAGCATATATATTTGGTCAAGAAAGAAACCAGTAGACAAAGCCTTTATCTCTGTGGACCATTTTAATTTTACTAAATTTTCCTAGTAAAACCAAGACCTACTTTCATGTATTAAAAATTGTTTATTTGAATTGAAGAGCATCTATAGTTGTCTGTTATTCTTGTTTTTCTCCCGGGAGTAAGCATGTTGAATGATTAATACTCCATAATGTGTGTGTGGTATTTAAACTATTACTCATTTACTTCCTGGTTTTGGCTTTTTAAAATAATAATGCATTCCTTGCATTGTTTGCATAATTTTTTCAGAACAAACCCCTACAAGTGAACTATGACAGTAAATTTCAGCTTGAATAATAAAATTATTTTTATTTTCCACAACTCTTGGCTGTTTTGTTTGTTTTGAGAGACACATGATACAAAATAGGAACATGTGAACAAACTTGTAAGACTGAACATACTGTTTCCACCTCTCCTTCCAGGACTCAGCAGCCTTGGACCTACGAGGGATTGGGCAAGTGTTGCCAACCCACCTGATGGAAGAGCGGCTGATCCGACAGCAGCAGGAAATGGAGGAAGATCAGCGTTGGCTGGAAAAAGAGGAGAGATTTCTGGTAATTATGTTTTAGAGCAGTTATTTCCTTTTTTCCTTTTTTTTTGGAGTCTACTGCATTACATATGATTGCAAATATTTTTGCTTTCCAAAGCAGGAATTAAGGGGCTGGGGATATAGCTCAGCAGCATAATCATCTGCCTGGCAAGTGCAAGGTCCCAGGTTCAATCCCCAGTACCACAGAAAAAAAAAAAGAGCAGGAATTATTTTTACATCTGGTTCCTAAAACTTGAAGCAACAGGTTATTTGTTTTTCTTGATTATTTTTTAGGGGTCAGATTCTAAGATTTTATAATATGTTATGGCTCAAAGTGTTTTTGGTGGTTTTCATATATATATATATATATATATATATAAAATATTTATTGGGATGGCTTCCCACTCATCTTGATTGAGGGTACTGTTCATGCTGCTTCCTCCTGAAGAAGCATCCTTCTGTGAGCCTTGCTTTTCCTCCTGTAGGCTGGCACAGGACAGTGGAGCAGCCAACACACAGAACTACTGTCTTTGTATGGCTAAAGACCATGGTGATTTTATAGTATCCTGGGCACTCCACATCCATGAAGTAGCAATTGGGGCTCTGCACCAGGTGCTTCTTCTTGTGCTTCCTCTTCTCCTCCGGAGAGGGATGAAGCAGATCTTTTTTTTCACGTTCTCATGGGAAAGTCGTCATCACCAAAAAGGAACATTTTGGTGTTTTTCATTACCACAGTGTTTACACAAGAACAGACCCCCATAAGTATCAGTGTGCATGTAAAACATGTCTCTATACAGCAGGCTCTGAGACAAAACTAGTATGAGTTCAGGGTATACTTCCCAGCATTCTCCTGCAGCAGCTTTGATAAATGCAAACACCTCCCCACCCCATGTATCTGGGCTTAGGGATCGGAAATGCCTTCTTTTAGGCAACCCTTGTCTACATCCCTTTCAGAAGTCCCTTGGGAATAGAGAGGAGGTAGTGGGAACAGAAATCTCTTTGTGTTTCTGAAAGCAAAGGTTATTTTGAATGTGTGGCCCCTGTTCCCAAGTACTTCTATGCCCTCAGTCTCAAAACGGGCCTGAAAATCAGGCATGGTGGCATAAGTGTGTAATCCCAGCACTTAGAAGCAGGAGGATCAAGAGTTGGAGAATAATAACCTGTCTACCTAACTAGACTTTATCTTTTTTTAAAACAAAAAACGGGGCCTGCAACAATGTACTCCCAAGCCACATGTGGTGGCACATGCTTGTAATCCCAGCACTCCAGAGGCTGAGGCAGGAAGATTGTTGCAAGTTAGAGAACAGCTTGGGCTACAAAATTAGCTCAACGGCCATCCTAAACTGCATAGCAAGACCCTATCTCAAAAAAAAAAAAAAAAAAAAAAAAATGCACTCACTGCTAAGAAATAATGAATAATGGCCTAAGGGAGCCAAGATTTCTGTTCTTTCACAAAGTCATAGTAGCTTTGTCTGGCTCCTAATGTTATGACTGAGCATTCACTGATGCCAACTCTGTTATACTTTGTATTAAGGGGCAAAATACCAAGGAGAGTAGATCCAGTCCATGTTCTAACTTACATAAACTCTTATGGACACAAAAGTATTAAAATGAAAAGGAAGTCAATTTAGGTGACATTGGTTTCAAACTATTCTGTAGAATTCATCAGTGTGTGATTTTATGTTTCTCCTTTTCATTTCTTAAACTATAGTTTAAAACTAAAAGCAACCTCTGTGCTTAAGGTTGCTGGAGCACCTTTTAACCTGTGGGGGGTGGTTGGTATACTAAATTGCACTCAGAGGTATTGGGGCTGCCCTCAGTGTGCCTGCCCCATCACACATGTATGCAAACTTAGAATATATCACACTGGGAAAATGTTCTTTTTTTTTTTTTTTTTTTTTTTTCTTTCTTATGTATTTAGGACAGAGTCTACAGGGTTTCACTACATAGATAGAACTAGTAGTGATTCTCCTGTTTTCAGCCTCCCAGGTGCTGGGATTACAAGCACACACCACCATGCCCAGTCTCAATTGCAGTTTCAGTGTGCCCTGGGGGTGGGGCCAGCATGGAAGGCCAGGGATTGAACCTTAGCCACTAGGCTCTGCCTAAGCAGGCGCTTTAGCCCACTGAGCTATCTGGCCAGCCCCTTATTGTTTTGTTTTGTTTTTAATGTAAGCCTAAAGAATCATACATGTACCACAGTCAGGTCTTTACTACATGGGACCCTTACTTAATAAGCACCTTCTTCATAGTTGAACAGTAAGGACCAGGACAGTAAGCAAAAGTAGCAGTATTACATATACATGATATTTGCTTCATATTGTTCACCTATAAATCATCTGATCATCCCAGCTGCCCTGAGAGAAGGGACAGGTCAAAAATTCTTTATCTAAATCCTTGAGGGCCTCATGTGTCTCAGAATTCAATGTGTATTTGTTTATGGTTTTTTGCTGTTAGGAAGTTAATGTAATATACATCATCTTAGTGTATATGCTGTGTTGTTATATAATACCTAACAGCATCCTAGAATTAAAACCACTAATACAGCAAAATATAAGTATTCATAGTAACGCGAACAGTAAAATGCCTCACATTGGGCCAGTTCAGGTTTTACCAGGTATTTGCTTTAACTATCAAAATATAAACAAATTTACTGTGTTTAGCACTTTGAAGAGGTAAGAGAAGGAACATGCAGAGAAACTACATAATTACCACACTGCTATAAGAGTAAGAGACAGATTCAGAATTCAGAAGCAGGTATCCAGCCCAAGGGTCTGTGTGTGCATCAGCAGCCCTTGCTGCATAGTAGTTTAATCATGTCCATCCAGTGCCTGGTGGGTTTCTTCTGATGTGAACTTTCCCTGAGCTTATATAAAGTATGGAGGGCATTGTTAGTGACTAACAGTATTTCATCCTATACTTTCAAAGTGCTTAAGTTAAATGAAGTTGTGACAGATGTTGAAATTGTAAAATATAGTTAATATTCACTGCTACTGGGTGAATCCATTTGGAGATTGAATCTGTTCTAAGAATAAAAAGTCATTCTCTTAACTCTACATCTTTTAGTGTTTTGAGACTGGGTCTTGGCCATCTGAGTCCAAGATGGCCTTGAACTCATTGTGTAGCCCAGGCTGGCCTCAAACTTGCACTGATGCTCTTGCCTCAGCCTCCAGAGTACTAGGATTATAGACAGGGGTGGGGTGCCTCCATTCCTGGCTTTTCTTTTCTTTCTTTTTTTTTTTT